GAGAGAGAGAGAGAGAGAGAGAGAGAGTCCATCGAGACCTTTCAAAAAAAAAACGCATGGGTGAGAGAGAGAGAGAGAGCGCTACTTTGTGCGACTCATACTCCTGGGAGTATGTCAGTGCAACGCTGGAAGTCACATTCATGAGACACCCAGACCAAAAGCACGTACCCTTCGAGCCATATCACAATAATGCTGTACGCAGGATTGCCTATCTCCTGAAATCTGAGAAAGAATACTTCTTGCGAACTAAGGAGAAAATGTGATGTGGTAAGTCGGAGAGACAGTTATGGGACGTGAAACACACACAACAGGTTAGTTCAAATCCAACCACCACCACCAAACCCTTAACCAATTCCTCCATTACTGCGGGCGAAGCCGGAACAGGTCTCCTGGTCACGATAACAACTCCTTTTCCTCCGGCATGCATAGATTCCATATCTGACAATATTAAAATCGTCATCTCACCCTAATACCTTCTCGTAAATGGTGCAAGGACTCCCACGTCCGCGTAAGTACATTGGCACCTCCTATGGCCAGCGTGTGTCATGTGTGTTCAAGTATGTTGTTGTGTATGCGTTCGTGCAAGGGAGGTATAGAGAAAGACCGGCACTGCCTCCAGATGTGTTGCGTCCATTAACAAAAAGAGAGAGAGCGCATGAGTAAGAGAGGCGAGGAGGCATATAATGCGCACGGCGGGAAGTCGCATCGTAATCCACAGCAAAAGGGAGAAAGGGACAGAGAGAAGCACAGAGTCAAGATAAAGACATGCACAGGGTAGCAGAAAGGTCGAAGAAGCGCACTTGGGAGGAAGAAGTAGCAAAGTTGGTTGATTGATTGACCTAATCAATCGATCAGCTGGTTGATTGGCCGTTATGCCACGGACGGCCAGCCTTGTCCACGAACGACCAGCCTTGTCCACGAACGACCAGCCTTGTCCACGGAAGCACAGAGTCAAGATAAAGGCATGCACAGAGTAGCAGAAAGGTTGAAGAAGCGCACTTGGGAGGAAGAAGTCGCAAAAAGTTGACTGATTGACCTAATCAATCGATCAGCTGGTTGATTGGCCGTTATGCAACGGACGGCCAGCCTTGTCCACGAACGACCAGCCTTGTCCACAGACGACCAGCCTCGTCCACGAACGACCAGCCTTGTCCACAGACGACCAGCCTTTGTCCACGGACGACCAGCCTCGTCCACGAACGACCATCCTTGTCGACCCTTGTCCACGGACGACCAACATTATCGACGGACGACCAGCCTTATCCACGGATCGATCTCCAGCATACTACATCCGTTAATTGGCCGTTATCCACGAACGACCAACCACGACCAATGTTAACCACGGACGACCAGTGCCATCCACGGACGACAAGCCTTGTCCACGAACGACCGGCCTTGTCCACAGACGACCAGCCTTGTCCACGAACGACCAGCCTCGTCCACGGAGTTTCCACTGGTGCTCCTTTCTTTAATGGTACTATTTATTTGTTTACTACTTGTTTTACTTTATATACATTACAGAAGTCCACAGCAAGCGCACAGCAATCACAGTGTGTTTTATTTATTATTCATGTGATTTTCATCAAGTTAATTGCAGATTTGTCGTATCTAGAGTCTTTCTGCTGTGCTCTTTGTTTTTTCTCTCTTTTTCAGTTTCTTTTTGTTCAAACCTTCTGCACCAATGAATATGATTTTTTTTTTTAATTATTTTTAACGCACTGTATTATATTTAGAAATGAAGAGTACGAGGCCGGGGACCTCACAATTCAACCCGGAGTTTTTTTTTGTTTTTTTTTTTTAATGTGGCCCGATGGACCACGGATCAGATATTAAACTGATCAGAACAGATACTACACTTGATCTTAGCCAAAAGTCCGAGAAAGGTATCCTGCGTGTTTGTATTTTGATTACAGGTGTTATCTTCTTATCCTATACAAAAAAGATACACATTACTCAAATCATGCACTTTTTTTTTCTTTTCTTTTCTTTTTTTGGACCATT